CAGGAATCAGTGTTAAATCTGTAAAATCTTAAATTTTTAATCTAGGACAATTATATGTGAAAAATAAGCAGAAGGTGCGTTGTGTCCTGCATGAGAACACTTTTGCATTTGTGGGTTTTTTTACCCATCTTTTATAAAAAGTCAAAGAACATTTCCTTGAAGAGATACATCACTCACCACCAGTAATAACTTTTGGTAAACCATGTAATAAATTTGCTTTAGAAAGTTTTTGTAGGGTGCAGAGATGCCTGTCGGCATTTTTTTTCTTAAATTCTTAAAGCAACATAGTTTTAATGTGGATCAGCAGCGTGATCATGCAAAGATTCTTAGAAAATGTTTATAAAAATGTTGAAGACAGACAGAGGTGTTGGTCCAAAGAGGTTCTGTCACAATATAACATTTTRGACAGCTTATGCAGACTTGTGAATTATTATTTTTTGTGACTAAATTACTCATCTGGGTTTTATATTTGATCTAATTTTTAGCATTACAGTTTRTATACATCCAAAAGATGTTTCCAGTAAAAAAAAAAAAAGCTCCATCTTCAGCGCAAACATTATCAGTGCTGGACAAAATCTTAAGTTGGTATAAATTATCTAAAATTTTATTGTGTGAAAGGGCCTCAACAGACTGCAAACTACAAACTCAGACTGTAAAATGTCTGCACAGAGTAAGGAAGTTGGCAACTAAGAAAGAAATACTAAAGTTATGTGCTTACTGTGGYGAAAAACCTGATACAGATTAAGAGCTCGTGTAAAAAGTACGGTAACACTGTTTTAATCTGACACATTACGGTAACACAGCTGTGACTCATTGTTGTCAAACCTGTTTCTTTTCTTACCAGAACAGAAAAAGATACTGTGACCTTTTGCTACTGTAAACAAAACTAGAACCAGTAGTTTATTCATAACATTTTATAAATCAGTTCTGCTTTAAAATGTAAAAACTCAAAATCTGTCAAACATTGGTTGAATTCATCAACCTGAACCCAAACTCTTATCCTCACCAAACAGCAACAATTCTATGAAGAACTGGACATAAATGCTTCTAATCAATCAAATAACACTTGTATATGTCATTAATGATGAAAGTTTTTTATGAGCAAATATTTCACAACAATTAGTAACAAATTTATCACAAAGGAGCATCATAAAAAATCACATAAAAATGATCAGAATATTGATTAAAACATTAAAAATCAATAAGACAAAAACAATAAAATAAAGAAGTTGATAAATCGGTCTTTCCAAGCAGTTGCACCTCGGCTCTGGAATGCACTGCCCCAATTTATACGCAGCCTTGATTCTATTGATGCTTTTAAAACACATCTGAAAACTTTATTTTACAAACAGGCTTTTAGCTAAATGTTTTTTTGTTACTTGTATTCTTGTATGAATTGTAATGCTGTGGTGATGTTTTAATTTACTATTTTACTTTCTTGTTTTTATTCTATTTTATGTGAAGCGCTTTGTGATTTTATGTCTATGAAAGGTGCTATATNCTTGTTTTTATTCTATTTTATGTGAAGCGCTTTGTGATTTTATGTCTATGAAAGGTGCTATATAAATAAACTTTACTTACTTACTTACTAAACAATTTGAAAATATTTTTTACTTAGATTAGATGTAACAATCTAAGATAAAAATAATTAAAATTAATCCAAGATTTATCATTTATCAAAGCAAAATAATGATATTGGCTGGAATATAGTTGTTTAAATGTGCAATTAACTTAGACACAGATTAAGTATTTGATATAGTTTGTTTTAGAACTTCGAAATAATAAATGGATGTTGGTTTTTTTATTGTCAAATGATTTATTTATTTTCTAAGTCAAGCAAAGTAAGGATTTTATCAGTATTGCATCAGTTCAAATAACAAAAGCAGACTCAAATTGCCCTGATGTCACCAACCTCAGCCTCTTACCAAGGCCAGCTGCAGACTGCAGTTCACTCATATTTCAGTTGGAGCTGCTGGCTCATYGGTCCAGGACAACAAACAGACACAAGGTTGCAGTGCACGTCTGACAGCAGAGGTGTCAACAGTATTCATATTCATTACTTAACTGGGGTTTAAAAAGGCTTGTATAGAATTAGAAGTATCAACTTAAGCTTTTGTAATAGAGTAAAAGTGTAAAAATACTGGTTTTAAAACTACTTATGGTGTAAAAGTAATGTAAAGGAAAAATAAGCCATTGAAGATAAAAGATCAGGCCGTGACACAGTGTTGCACAACCCTACCTACTTAAAAAAACATTTTCTAAAGGCCAAAATGACCATATTTTTATATTAAAATGTTAATGTTGAAAAATATGGGATGAACTAGTTAGCTGAATACTTACACTGCCTGGCCAAAATATTTTGTTGGACCATCTGTAGCTTTTATTACGGCACACATTCACTTGTTTCCATAAGCTTCCTAGAGCTGACCAACTGCAGCCACCCCAGACCACAGCGCTGCCCCCACAACACTAGGCATGATGGGTGCCTCCTCAAAGACAATGGGTCCCCATTATCCTTCCAGTTTTAATGATGTGTTGGACAGTTTTTAACCCAGTTTTAGTAGTTTCTCAAGCTTCCTTAGATGTTTTCTCTGCTTGATGCCAATGATTTGACCCTTCTCAAACAGACTGACATCTTTTCCACGACCACAGGATGTGTCTTTCCACATGGTTGTTTGAGAAATGAGAAGCAACTCATTGCACCAGTTGGGGTTAAATAACTTGTTGCCAGCTTAAATATACAGTATATGCTGTAATTATTCAATAGGAGCCTCTTACCTATTTGCTTAGTTAAATCCAGGTGGCAACTTTTTTTTGACCAGACAGTGTATTTCTGCCACAGTCATCTCATCTTCATAGTAAACCACATATGTCTGATATGTCTTGCTGGAGTGTGATGTGATTTGTTTCATGTGCAGGGTTGTACAAATCAATAGGGTGTCAGAATGGTTTATATTTATACTTCTCATTCACCCACAACTAAGTTCACTCTGTCCAGGAGGCACAATTTATCTGGAGAGGTGTTTCTTGAATGATGACAAGCCAAAGTGATGTGCTCCTTATATTTTTTAACTGTAAGGAGTAAAAGTAAAAAAGTTGGCTGAACAATAAATATTTCAGTAAAGCATAGATAACCAAAATTTCTACTTAGTTAAAGTAAGGACATATTTGTACTTCCTGTCTTTACACCTCTGACTGATTCAAGAGGTTGTTGAAAAGGCAGCTGAGGAAGACTGTGGAYGTCAGGCAGTCTTTTGTTTGGGCCTATTGCCATGCTGTAAAATAAGTATTGCAGTGTGTTTTAACACACACTAACAACTATCTAATTGGCTTTAAATATATATATATATTTTTCTGAACAAAAGTTGTTGTTTTCCTGCTCATATGAATGAAGACAGACACAAAAATACATCAAGACTGCGAGGGAAACACACCAGACTGACCGAAGCATCTCTTAATGAGAGTTTTGTCTGAAAGACAAAAGAAGAAAAAAATGTTAAAACATATTAAAACATTTCAGTGATTTCATCATAACAATTGCAAAATTGTCAAACAACAAATCCACATTACTCATGTGCAAAACATGTAATAGTCAAATAAAGAAATTTCATTTACCACAATCAAGTAAGTATATAACCTTCAGTTGTTATGAAAATGCTGTATTTTTAATTAATTGCATCATAGTCTAAACGCTTTGAAATTGGTCTCTGTCCTCCTCCCATTTCCAACACTCCCACTTCAGTACATCTTCACAACAATGCTTCAGGGGAGGGGTGCTCTTTGGGGTGGGAGCTTGGCTGCAGAATGAGCTCCAGGGAGGAGCTTTGTACAAAGAGGCGGAGCTTTGTACCAGTAAGTGTTTAGGCAGCTCCCCATGGTTACCACAGGAGATTCAAGGATTTCTCAAACATGCATGAATGATTCAAAGCAACACTCTGAGGATGTTTTGATGAGGGAATGTCATTTATTTATATTTATATTTCAAGATATAAGACTCAAATTTATCAGTTTTGCATAATACCCCACAACA